ACTGTGAGCTGTCGTGGTTTAACCTGGCACAATGCCATTCATGCATACATGTATCATAAATGCATATTACGTATGCTTTTAAGCATATACACTGGATATATAGACACACACACATCTTCAACACTTAAATTTCCAAAGCAAGTTTGAATTTTCCACGTTAAAACTTTACAGGGGAAGGGGTTGCTTTATATTTATCTCCCTCCTCGCCCTCCCCCAAATCAGGTATCTTATTTCACCAGGCTAAAGCTTTAGAAATATTCTGGAAAAACAGAACACAAAGTACCATGCAATTTCACTTTGATCATGTTTCTTCTGCTAGCAGCTTTGCTGGGATTGTTAACAAGCAAACTGTCAGCACACAGTAAAGAAATATCAGTGCATGCCTGTGCAACACGCCAGGCTCATGAAGCACAGGCCTAGATCCTGCCCTCTGCTACAGATGAAGTTCACAGGGGAAAGGGAATAAGGGCTCTCTTCTTCCATCTGCCCTGAATGCAGCAGCGAGGCAGGATTCCAACCTAGCACTCAGGAGAGTGCCAAAAAAGGGACTGGCTACTGTGCTGGCTGCCACCCCAGGGCCCCAGGGGTGTGAGGCCCGCCAGCTGTGGGGTGGAGCCGTGCCCCCAGCCAGCTACAGCCTCTGCTTCTGTCTAGCCTGCTGGCTCAGCTCATGTAATGATCGTTTTAAGAAAAGCAATATTGTGCAGTTCATCATGCGGTGCAGGTGTTCACCTTCAACTATCCCTGCCCTGTGCTGGCAGAGCAGCTCCTGCAACACTCATGGCCAGTGCTCGCCTGTCTTCCCCATGCCACAAAGCACAGCACCTGTAAGATCCCCAGGTTAGCTTTATTCTGAAAAGTGAAATGTTTAGGAAAGAAAAGCTCTCGCCTGAATAGAGGGAGACCAGATTTTTAACTGACTTCCCTCCTGTGCAAAGATGTGATACAATTCGGCAGACTTGATACATCTGCCAAACCAAGACCAACCTCAGCAACTCTAACTTCATTGATGCAGAAAGGAACCTGGGGAAGAACCAAAGGTCTCTGCAAAAAAAAAACCCCAGGACAGTAATAATCAGCAGAAAATTCAGCCCAAACAAGCTGCTGCTTGTTCACATTGAGGTCACAGTCCCTGTTCGGACGGGATAAATCCAGTTGGTAGCAGGGTATGGTCCGTGACCTCTTAGGAACCTAGTGGGAACAGGCCCAGAAGTTGTCAGCACTGGGTATCCATTGCGGATGCAGGGATGAAGATGTCCATCCCAGGGCAGAGCTCTGAGTGCTCCTACTGGCACCCCTGGGCAGAGGCTGCCAGTGCACTGGAGCTGATTAAGGAGCACTCAGATAATCAACCTGCCCTGGTGATGCAGGAGTGTGGAGAGAAGGGAAGGTGTAAATTCCAGCCACAGGGAATAAGAAACTGCTAGGAGCAAGAATTCCTTCAGCTGTTCCCCAAGTCACTGTGGAACCACGAGCATTTGACCTTGGTAAATTCGGACAGGGTAGCACTATCACACCCACGAGGACTCAGTTTCACTAAGATGCAGTGTTGAACTAGTGGATGAGAGATAGACGGAGATGGGGATTTTAACTGCCAAAATGCATTTTTTCCTCCTGGAAGAAGAAAGAGAAAGCAGTTTCATTCCCCCAAAAATAAATTCCCCAGGTTTAAACAATATTAGGAGTATGATATTTTTTATTTTTGTCTGGAAATACATATTTGAAGGGGTTCTAATAAACAGACCATTTCCTCTGACTTTTATTTAAAGGCACTAGTGATCTCTGCTTTTTAAAACTCAAGAATTTGTTTGGTTTGCTACAGTGCAATAAAACTTCAGGCAGGAGAACCTACTATTCAGTCCTTTTAAAATAGTTCATAAAAATGTATTAAAGGACTACGAACTGAGTTACAGACTACCAAACAGGATTTTGACCTCTGCTAACATCTCCCGTAGTAGAATCTCACTGCTGCCAAACAAACACTGATTATTCTCCAAACAGTCCCACCCAGAAGAGGAAACAAGTGCATAAAAAAATTAAGGGACCTGTCTAGTACCACAAAGCAAGACAGTGTCTGAGCTGATGATAAAACCTTGGTATCACGACTCCATTCTGGAGCTGAACAATAAGTTCAGCCTTTTTCCAGAGGTGTCCTGTAACAAAGTTGTCCCAAATCCTAAAGCAAGATTCATATACTTAGACAAAACAAAGGTTTAGTCATTTCACGTTCTCTTTTCCTTGTTTTCCTATTAGTTGCTAGTGACTTTGGGCTTTACATACAATGAATATATTAATCCAATCAAAGCGGAGGAATACAATTTACCCTTACAGGTGCAGCTATATACAAACTACATTCACTTGGGGAGAGCTTGTTCTTGCCACATTTTTGCAGCTAAGCTGGGACTACACTGGGCTTTTATCCTATTTGAAGCAACAGATCCCACATACATAACCATATTAGTTTTCATGTAATTCTTTGACCTGGAAATAATCATAATTTTCCTCTGCAAAAGAGCTATAGCCAGTTGTAGGATCTGAATTTTTTACTGCTGGGCAACATCTTTTCTGCTTTTGTATGTCAAAATAAAGTTTGAAAAAAATGTAAATGCTTCACTGAGCTACAAACAATGAAAAAAGGTGTTCTGCCTGCCATCAAACCCCGCTGGTTAAAATATTAACACAATGTAAATATTGTAATATTGAGGAAGTACACTGTGTCAGTACTTCCTGGCACCATACAAGAGCTTCACTGTTCACTTCAGTCCCTGCTGTTAGTTTTAAACACGCACAGCTTAAACAAGGCATCTGAGCTTCTCCAGTCCTGGTTGGAATTGCAGAGAGGCAAAATCTTACTGTCGGTTCTCTCTAGCCTAAAAAACAAAGCATTAAAAAGAATCCTTAAACCCAAACAATTATGTATATGTCAGTACTTTTGAGGTAAAAATATTCCACAGGGTCTTTCAAAAGTCCTGACATATTGCTGCCAAACATGGAAAGATCTTTGGGTATGCACTGTCCTCCCCTTCCTCAGAGAAGAAAAACAAACTGCAAATGCCCACCAATGCCAGGAGCCTGAAAGCCCAAGTTATTCCTCGTGGCAAAAGTCCCATTCCCCAAATTTGCCAGTTAAGCACATTACTTGCAATTGACTCTCTCTCTCAATTGACTGAATAAGCAGCATGTGTGCAATGAAGAGAATGAAGCAGCTACCTGCCATTAATAAGCCAGATGTTGCTATCACGTCTTAAGAAATGCTGTTTAGCTGCTGTAATTATGTATTTGTCATGGAAGTGTCACAGAAAAGAAGCACAGCTTCATAAAATAGTGAAGACAGAGAACGACCTCTCTATAGAAAACAAAAAAACAACTGGTCATACTTGCAAAAAGTCAGTAGACTTGTTCTAGGGGGACCAGGGGGGGCAACCGGAGGAGTTCAGAGCAGGATTTCACTCTGCTGGCTGGCTTTGGTTAATACAAGGTAAAATCCTGCCACTGACAAAGCCAATGATCTCATCAGTTTCAATGGAAATAGCATAAAGCCTTGAAATCTGAAGTTACCACTATTTATGCTTAGAGGCCTCGCTGTGTCACCCACCGTGGTATGTCTGACAAAGACTGTCCTTGTCCCACAGACGTAATGATCTAAATTCAAAACAGCATGAAATATCAGGGAAAAAGAACTGAATGTGTGAAATGTGTAATATTTCAGAAATGTCTAATCCCAGCAAAACTAGATGGCTAGGATTTCAAGAAATGAGTCCTACGTGTTATATTATGACAAAAGAAAGCCGTAAACACTGCTTCATGCTACCACAGGAAATACAAGAAGTCCAAACTGTCACCAACTTTCTAAAATACACTGAATAAATGGCTTATTCCAGATTTAAAGCATCTGCTGCTCCTGAAGCTTTCTCACCTTTCAGACATGTTCCCATACACAAATGGGAACTAAAATGACTTGTACAATGGCCCCATGTGCCAGTCAAAGTATCGGATAAGCTTTATTCTTATGCATGGTAAGAAATTGCCCTGCGGATTAACACAGATTTTCCACTTAATTTTAATTCACTCACAGAACCTTTTTCTGGAAGAGCTCCTTCAATCATGTATCCAACTGCATCACCAGATTTGTATACGGTCAAGACTACCACAAATCCCCCCGCCTCCCAACATTTTTTCACATGTCAGTTTATGTGCTAAGGAAAAGCACTATGAACACAACACTTAGTCAGCCCCTTTATCTTTCATCTTACTTAAAAGGTGAGAAAAACTCTTGAGAACTCAATGAGCATTCAATATATGCAATAGGCACGAGAGTGCTACAAAAAGTCTAGGAACAGGACATCGTTCCAAAACTGAACTACTTACTGTGAGGGAAGTTGTTCATTTGTTTGTTTTTTAAAGATAAAGAGGGTTTTTTTGGGTCTGTTTCATGAAATATTATAGCTAAGATCCTTCTCCACTTCCATAAATGGATGTTTTTCTTAGTCTCAGTGGGTGGTCTCAGAGTTTTGACAGAGGAACATCACAAGCTAAAAACATAGGATGCTACAGAGATAGCCCACCTGCAGTGCTGGTGGATGTGAAGGGGGAGAGAAAAGGTGATTGCAAAGGCCAAAACAGACTGTGGTGGGGGAAATCAAAGGTCAGAAATGTATTCACAGCCCTAACAATGGGGGAGCCCTCGTGAAATGAGCAGCCAAAAAGCACAGATACATTAGGAAAAAAGGGATGCAGAAAAAAGGCAAAAATTTTAGCTTTCACTTATGCTGTTATTAGATTTTTTTTTTTTTTAAAAAAAAAAGATCTGAATAAGAAACTCGGACATAATGCTTGGCATTCTTTTAGTGTAGTTAAAGCATTTTGAAAACTCATTTCTTTCACATTTCTATTTTATGCTAGCCCATTTAATGAAACAAATCTTCCTTTAAAAGCTCTGGTACGAACCATATGTCAATGCAAACACCTGCTACTACCTTGTGTGTTGCTTGTTTTCTTACCTGTTTTCTACAAGGAAGTCTATCACATATTTCTTCAGACAGTAGAGATGGGCATCCATCAGCCCTGTTCTGATGTGCATTCTGGGATGCCTGGAAGAGGAAAAAAAAAAAAAAAAGGAAAATCATAGAGTTTTGTACGGCCATTTACAAGAGCTTGACTTTGCAATTAATCCAGTGGATAGTGAAAAGTTTGCAAAGGCAGGTCTGTTCCTTTCCATCTACTGCTGGATTAACAGAGGAGAACAGCGCAGGCTGCCATTATTGGACTGTGTCTATAAACTTACACCTGCTGGCCCTGGGCTGATTTGCTGCAAAAGAAAACACCTCCTCCAAGGAGTCATTACTCCTGCTACATCTTCTTATGTAAGTGGAAATTGCACATTACTGGGCAGGAAGCCAAAGTAATGGGCCCAGAGTGCTGAAAGTTACAGTGGGTAATGTCAGGGTACAATAATTCAAAGCTTCTGGCTAAGTGCCTGCCTTAATATGCAAGGCTGTGCATGTTCTGCTAGCAAACACAACACCATTACTGTATTTTTTCCAACACTTCCTGGAGGGAATAGGGGAAGGAGATGGGGTCTGCTCACCTTTCCTACGCTACACATTACAAATTACTGCCACAGCTCAATTACAAAGCGTTTGCCTATCCAGCCCAGTAAGATGGAAAAGATCAGTAAAACTCCCTCTCATCATCAGCCAAACAATGGCAAACAGTTCCTTGTCTTCGCTTTCAGACCAGTGGCAGGTTAATACCTCAGAAACTCAGAAATCTCCAATAGCTTCAATATTTTAGAAACAAAGTTTTAAATCAGAAAGACTCATCGACTACTTCTATTACTTCTCTTTATGCATTCTCTACTCTTAGATAGTGGAAACCCTTTTTGGAACCTGTCTCAAAGCAGCTAGTTATTTTATGCCAATATTACTTTTCCCTTCCACACACCTGTAGCCTCATTTAAGAGTATTCTGGCTGTCTGAATACTCGCCACTAGTTCTGAGGACAGAAAAGCCACAAGAATATTTAGCTTGCAAATTGAAAATGACAAAACACAACAACAGTCAGGGACTACACTGGGCTGTTCAAGAGATCTGTTACTGCACCCACAGTCCAGAGGCTATTAAGAAGAGAGATTTCAATCCACACCTGAAATTGTCTCTGTTTTCATTTTTCCTCCTTTGATACCTGGATTTCATAATGAAGTTTGAAAGAACATATCTTACCAGTATATTCCATCCAACCTTCGCTTATTCCAGAACATGCTGAAGTCAGATGTTTGTGATCATGATCATTTTTATTATTTAGTTAGCTCAGCAGAGGGATCTCTCACAACTTGGGCATGCATATATATGTATATGTAGTAAACCAATACTAGCACACCGAATATTTAGTAACAACAAAGGTACCGAGAATATCAGGTGTTCTAGTAAGCCATTTTTCAGTGTATTTCTCAATTAATGCATTGAACTACCGAAGTATTTAAGTCTTAAAATTTTATAATTTAGGTGGCATTTCTCAAGCGTGCCATTCAACTCAAGCTAAGCGCATTATTAACTATAACAAAATTCGTTAAGTCCCACTTGCAAAGGAAAGCTCCAATAATAGTAGTATGACACTTTGCAGTAAGGTATGTGGTACTAAAAAATGATATATGCACTTTCACTAGACTACTTCATTAACAAAACATGAGCTCACCTAGCAATGCTGCAGTACCGATGTTATCAGCGGCCCAGATGTTGCTGTGGAAGTCAGCCCAAATAGCAATGTTCCTTATGCAAAGAGGATAGGGAATCCACTAATTTTAATGAGGTCTTGCAGTTGGAAGTCAGCAGACTCCCTCCTGCTCTGCATCCTGAGGATGGTTTCCACATTTTGTGTATTTATGAGAGGGAGAATTTTCATATCTTCTCTGAGAAAAAGGGCTCCCTTGTATTTATATAATGAATATAATAGTTTATTGAAATGGGTGAAAGAGACAAATGGAAAGAAATGGAGGAGGGAGGAAAGCTGTGAAAATTAACAAAACAATGGAACAAGGCAAGAAACATGTAAAAAAAATAGAAATGGATGCAACATGGGAAGGAGAGGGGAAAAAAAGGAGGAAAAAACCCAATTCTTAACTTGAAGATGACAAACACGAAACAGTCTCTTCAGTGCCAGAATGCCAGGTTCTTCTCTCCCTATTCAGGATCTATCACAACCCCCCTTAAACACAAGGCAGGGGAAGGCTGTGACGGCTAGACATCAAGCTAAAGAGTATAAAACAGGAACTCCTCAATAAATGCTGGTTCTGTTGCCAGTGTCTGTGCGGCTTTCACACATCCAGTCTCCCCACCTGCAAACTGGAATAACACTATTTAGCTACACCACAGGGTACTGAGGATTTGTGGGCTGAAGTTTGTATCTGCATGCAAGTATTGTACCAAGTTTTTCTGTAGCTAAGCAACTTTATGAAGTCAGTGCAAGTGGACAAACAGTAGCACAGTGCTATCCTAGCTGCAGCTCCATCACACACAAAAAACCCCCCACAAAAACCAGCCAGACAACAAGATGTACTGAAATGCCACCCTCGCTTAGCTTCAACGCAGAATATACTAACAATAACGGAACATCATGCTGGACAAGAAGGAGGTCCCACAATGAAAATCCTCTGAAATACAGACCACCTAAGTGATTTGCAACAGAATAGTCCCATAGATTAATATTATAATCACAGCTTCAAAGGTCAAACAGGCAAGTTTGGGCACATGCATAAACAAAGCTGCGATTTCTGTAAACCAGGCTCAAGGAGAGAATAGCCACACTAAACCAGACTGATAAGAGCACTCTATCATAACAAGCCACTAAAGATGATGCTAATTTTCATTGACTACTGCTTAAACCAGTTTATCTTCAGGTAAAAGCAAAGGAGCCAAATAATCTAACAGATAACAGCAAACTCCATCACCATTTCAAATGAGCATCTGGTTACTAATATGGAAAGCCACACTCCCTTCTCATGCCTCTGATCTCCCACTCCATCAGCTAATCTTCACAACATATGAAAAATGAGCCCGTTGTGAGGAACAGCTGATACAGAGAGAATCGAATAACAAACAATGCATGTGCCGAGAGCTGACGCACCTAGACTTATCGCTCTGAGGGAGATAATATAGAAGGCTTTTAATTATATCATCAAAGCAAGGGAGAAGGTACTAGGAGGGGCTGGCTGCAGATGGTTAAGTGTTAATGAATGCCGGGTTGGGTGGTTTATCAAAAGAAAAAGACTGGATATATATCTGAGAGGGTCACTGTTGAGATGAAAGTTCTAACAGCCATTGTTGGAGCTCTTTAATGAGCGAGGAATGTCAAATGTGAACCCTCTAAGAATCATACCAATTACTAAATGAACTTCGGTTCAATCTAGCAAATGTAATCAAGCACAAGTCATTAAAATACATGGTAAAACTCCCATTGGCGCTGCCACTATAGTGTCTATTATTGTCTGTGCTCCCATGCAAGGGAGGGGGCTGCTCCCAGTTGTAAGCTCTGTGTGTTATGTTAAGTGATGGCAGATTTTAGCCCTAATGATGAGGCACGGAGGGCTCCCTGGCAGAAAGTCGACAATGAGGAGGCTTGGAGAGATCTGTTGAGAAGTCAGGGAAAGATCAGCAATTAAAAGAGCAATTTCAAAGAATGCAATTTAATGTGTAAAATTAGCTTTTATTAGCACGTAATTCCACAAAATCCTAACTCAGGATGAGAGTGCATAAAGGTCTGCAAGAGTCCTTAGAAAGGTCTGTGCCCGTAATTCCTGACACGCCATTGTGAAATAATAAGCAGTACTAACAGGATTGATGCATGCTTCGTACATGGCATTGCTTTGAAAGTGGAGCCCGGAGCTTTTTTTGCCCTGATAACCTCTCTCAGGATTTCCTCCCTCAGGGAAATCAACCACTGATAGAGCAAACTTCCCCTGTTTAAAGGCAAAAAGATGGACAATTGTTTCAACTGTAAACTAATTAAGAGAGATTACCACCAAGAGCTGGAGGTTCAAACCAGCCCCGCACTCCCACTGACAGTGTGATAATGCCAGGCTGGGGTCAAAATCATAAATCTGAAGGGAGCACACACAATGCTTAAAGCCAAAAAGCCTCTCTGCTAAGCATGGGATATTGCCACATTAACCTCACCACCTCACAAATAAACTAGCTGAGAAAGAGAAATCCCATGGCCTCCTTCCCTTTAACTTCATACAGCTGTTGATGGAAAATACGACGGTCTCAAGGACCTGAGGCTGTCCATACTCGAATGCTAATCCGAGCAATGACACAATAAAAAGCCAATCATACCTGCTAATAACCTGGCTCCTGAACTGATATCTGAATTATGTCCACCGTGGGCTTATGGGGTATTAGTTCACCTTCCTCCCCATCCCTCCAAAATAAATAAATAAATAAAAGCATGCTAAGTGCAAACTATGCATTCCACACTCATTTCTTTTCTAATTAATTGCATGTAGCTCACAGTCTGTGTAGCCAAACAGTCTACCACATTCTCCTTATCTCCCAGGCTACATACTGTATTCTTGCATGAAGAAGCGTGCCATCTAGTTCAAACACACAGTGCTGACCCCGGACTCATGGAGGTGGTGCTCTCATGTTGATACAAAGCCAGTGTACAGATTACAGATCAACATGAAGGGAAGACTCAAAGCAAAAGCTGCCAGACCACCTTTAATGTCTCAAGCATTCCTACTTTTAAAGGAGGAAAAAAAAAAAGAAAAAAAAAAATCCCTAAATCGCATTGCTCATTTACGGGACAGCTCTTGGCTGTAAACTCACTAATAATAAAAGACCACTGTTACGTTGGCTCTTCAAAAATCCCAGACACCTTATGACCTTAATTTTTTACACAGTGCTTTTGGCCAAAAAGATCGCGAAGCACTTAGCCAAATGAATGTCCCCACTGTATCCCAGGCCTCCTTTGCCCACCAGTGAAATGCTGCCACCTCCGGGCTAGCCCCGGGCCTACCCCGGCCCAGCCGAGGCAGCGCAGGCCGGGACCCCCCACCTGCGGGGCCTCCGGCACCCCTCTGCCCAGCGCCCCTCTC